AACTCAGTTCCCCAACTTGAACCTTCATTTCCTCATGGAGCTTCTACCCCTTTACCCAGCTTCTTGATGTCACCTTTCCCCCTTGGTGAACCCCTACCCCCTTTGACCCTTTATCTACTCACCGAACCCCTATCCCAATCACTGGGGGCCTCCATCCACCTCACAGAGACCCCTTCCTCTTACTGAGCCCTTATCCTTTTTTAAAAAAATTTTTATTAGTTTATTTTGATTTATCAACAATCACTTCCATATGCTTTTGAGTTTAAAATTTTTCTCCCCCTTCCTCCCCCCCTCCCCAAGACTGCACACAATCTGATATAGGCTTTACATTTACATTCCTATTAAACATATTTTCACATTAGTGAAGTTGTAAGTAAAAATTAAAACCAATAGGAGGAACCATTAGAAAGAGGAAACAAAACTCAACAGAAGAGAAAAAAATGATAGCTATTCAACTTCCATAGTTCTTTCTTTGGATGTGGACAGCATTTTCCATCACAAGGCCTCTTGAGATGTCTTAGATCCTTGTATTGCTAAGAAGGGTTAAATTTATCAATATTAGTCATAGAACAACGTGGCTGTTACTGTGTACAACGTTCTCTTGGTTCTGCTCACTTCACTCAGCATCAGACCATACAAGTCTTTCCAGGTTTTTCTGAAGTCAACCTGTTCATCATTTATTATAGCACAATAGTATTCCATTACATTCATATACCACAGCTTTGAGCCCTTATCCTAATCAATGAGGGCCTCCATCCACCTCACAGAGACCCCCTTCCCTCACTGAGTCCTAATTCATTCACTGAGCCTTCATCCTCCTCGGTGAACTCCCAATTCCTCACTAAAATCCATATTCTATCAATGAGTCCCCCCTCTACCTTTATGTACTCCCTCCCCCTCCCATCTCCTTCACTGGGCTTCCCTATCCCTAACACAGACCCTCCTTTTAAATTGAATCCTCATGCCCCTGCCCACTCCCCTGCTCCCCTCAGTGAGCCCCTATGCCCCTGCTGACTCCCCTGCTCCCCTCAGTGAGCCCCTATGCCCCTGCTGACTCTCCCTCTTTCCCTCAGTGAGCCCCTATACCCCTGCTGACTCCCCTGCTCCCCTCAGTGAGCCCCTATGCCCCTGCTGACTCTCCCTGCTCCCCTCAGTGAGCCCCTATGCCCCTGCCAACCCACCTGTTCCCCTCACTAAGCCCCTATGCCCCTGCTGACTCTCCCTCTTTCCCTCAGTGAGCCCCTATGCCCCTGCTGACTCCCCTGCTCCCCTCAGTGAGCCCCTATGCCCCTGCTGATTCCCCTGCTCCCCTCAGTGAGCCCCTATGCCCCTGCTGACTCTCCCTGCTCCCCTCAGTGAGCCCCTATGCCCCTGCTGACTCCCCTGCTCCCCTCAGTGAGCCCCCATGCCCCTGCTGAACCCTTGGAGCTCATATCTCAGAGGCTGCAAGCTTGGCTGTTTTAGTTCCCAAAGTGTGGTCCTGACTAGAGGTCAGAGGTTAGGGTTCCAAGCTCATTTTATCACCCTCCCCCTGCTTCTCACTCACCGGAGTTCTCTGGGCTTGCCGGTGCTGAGCAGGGCAAGTCCAGCCCGTCATCCAGGGACAGGCCCTCCGGACCCAGCACCAGAGTCCTTTCATGGCCTGAAGAGAAGGGGGAGGGAGGATCCTGGGGTCAGCTCAGCCTCTTCTTGGGACATAGCTTAGACCTAGGGCCGGCACCGTTGGGCATCGTGGGCTCAAGCCCACATTGTCAGGGGTCCCTTGTCTGCCCCAGGCCAGCCGCCCTCTCTGGGGCCCCGGAAGGTCTTGGCAAGGCCCAGTCTCTACCAGTCCTGTGCCCTCCCTTCGCTCTGCTCAGCCTGGGTCAGGCAGGCAGTTGGCAGCTGGGCAGGTGGGTAAGGATTACTCCCAGGCTGAGAGAAGCTCCTTGGGATGCCCAGGTGGTGAGCTCATCCCTGAAGGAGTGCTCCCTCCTTCCCCCACTCCATGGACACATGCCTGTCGCCATGAGCACATGTCCACAGGCCTAAACATATATGTATGAACCCCATGGACTACATGCAACCAACCTATGAACCAGAGAGACATATGTGGGCACAGGTACATTGGCTGCCCTTTTAAAAGAAGTGTCACATGAGTATTCTTTTCTTTCTTTAAAAAAAAGTAGTCACTTCCCAATGACTCTCACCCTTAGGCAATAGCACCCTCACCACACTGGCACAGGCAATTCGAATCAAGCCAAACCCACCCACGTTTGGCCGTGTCTGACAACACGTGCCGTGCACCGTGTCCGCGATCCACCATTTCTTCACCCAGAGGAGGAAGGCAAGCTTTACTGCCAATCTTAGATGACTCACCACATTGAACAGAGTTCTGGAATCTTATTACATTTTTTTAAACTTTACATTATGCACAGGTATATTTGCATATATGCAAATATAAATAGCTTATAGAATTTGGAGCTGGAGGGGACCTTAGCTATGGCATAGTGGAAAGAGCACTGAGTTCTAGGTTCAAATCTTGCCTGTGACACTTCCTACTTTAGGCAAATCCCCTGGTCTCTCTGTGCCTCAGTTTCCTCATCTGTGCAAAGAGGAGGGTTAGACTAGATGATGGCTTCTGAGGTTCCTTCCAGCTCTAGAGTTATGATCTAGTCCCACTGCTTTAGTTTATAGAAAAAACTGCTTTGCAAGCCTTCAAACATCATGTAAATGGGGGCTATTATTGTTGCTGTTGTCATATGGCTTTGGGCATACTGATCTGCCATCATCTCTGAAGAATTCAAACTGGGTGTCCCTCAGAGGAGAGAGGGCAGGAGCAGACACTGCAGTGCATAAGGAAGGGAGGTCTACAAAGACGCACCAGAGTGAAGAATGTCATCAAAGAAATATATGCATGAACAAGAAAGAGAGCTGGCTGCATGGGGAGAGAGAAGGATAAGTGGTAGGTGACCCAGGTATTAACACTGGTACCTGTGTAATGTCAACAGAAGCCCAGAAAGACCTACACCTCATTGGGTGGACCCTTTGTGGCCAACATACGGGAGAAGTCAAGTCAAGGAGAATTTGTTAAGCACCTGCTATGTGCAAGGCACTGTGCTGAGTGCTGGAGGTACAAAGAAGGGCGAAAGATAAAGCATGGGTCAGTGGCTATGTCCAGACGATGATGATAACGACCTCGGATGAAGAAACGGAAGTCCAGAAAAGGGAAGGGCCTTGCTTAACGTCATGCAGCCAAAGCAGGAGAACCAAAATTTGAACCCAGGTTTTCTGATTTCAAACACAGTACTCTTTTCTACTACTCAAGGAGCAGGATGGGGGTGGGGGGGAGAAGAGAAAGAGGGAGTAGATGTCAAACTCAAGCCTCTTCATTCCAGTGGCGGCTGCAGAAGGTAGTCAGGGATGGAAACGTCAGGTCTCTGAGCCTGGGCATCTTGGAGTCTCAGACACTCAGAGGGCTCAGGCCGGTCAGATGGATGGTTTCCAGATTCCTGGGTTTCAGAGGTTTAGAAAATAAAACTCAGCCTCAATTTCCCCTTCTGTAAAATGGGGATAATAATAGTGCCTACCTCCCAGTGTTGTTCTTGAGGATTAAATATTTGTAAAGTGCTTCACAAACCTTAAAGCATTATATAAATGCTAGGCACTATTATTATTATCATTATTATTATTAAAATAGGTGACAATGAAGGCTTTGAGGCTGAAGTCCCTGGGCCCCTGGGAACTGGACCTGAATTATCAAAGCCTTAGGACTAAGAGTTGGGTCCTTTATACAGGTGTGTGCACAGACACTCTTAACATGTGTCCAGAATTGTACACGCAGGTGGCAAGGTGAAGAGAACACTGGATTTGGAGTCCAGAGACCTGGGTTCAAATCCTAACCCAGAAAGTTACTGGTCCTGCAATCTTGGCTAAGTCACTTAACTTTTCAGGACCAGTTTCCTCATCTGTAAAATGGGAATAATAATCCTGGCATTGCCTACGTCAGGGGTCTGTTAGGAGGAAATCATTTTGTAAGCCTCAAAGAATTAAGGAAATGTGGGTGGTTATTATTACTGTTTTGTACATAATGTACCTACATACAGATACACACACAGAGGTGTTTATAAAGCTACACAAATGTGACTATCCAGGCAGATGATAACAGGATTTAGAGATGAGAAGGACTTCTGAGACTGCTTCATTCAAGTGCTTCATTTTACTTTTAGGGAAACTGAGGCAGAGAGGCACGCATCTTCTGAGGGTTTTAGTGGACCCCAAGCGTAATGCATGTGACACGTCAGCTAGGAAAGCTAATTTGAGCTAGGGATAACAAAAACAGAGGTATCATGTCCCAGACTGGGGAAGGAAGAGTCTGACCTGGTGGGAGCACATCTAGTGTCTTGTGTTCAATTTGGGGGGCTTCAGTTTGGGAAGTGCATTGATAAACAAGAGAATCCAAAGGGGGGTCGGTCATCAGGATGCCGAATAGCCAGAGAAGGAGCAGTTGAAGGGACTGGGAATGTTGAGCCTGAAGGGAGGGAGGGAGGATGGGATAGCCTTCCAGTACCTGAAGGGCTATCTCATGAAAGATCTGCTTGATCCCAGAGGGCAGAACCAGAGGGACTTCAGGGGAGGGGGCATCAGGAGTTGCAAAAGGCACATCTGCCCCTCCATCAGGACTTCCTCCAAGGGAATGGCTGCATCAGGAAGCAGTGGGCAGTCTCTGACCAGAGGCCAGAGGACTGCTTTGGGGGTCTGCTGTGTCTGAGGACCATTTGACAGGAAGCCCCCGGGGCTCCCATGCATCTCTGAGATCTGCTGCTTCTGGGACTTGTCCAAGGTCACACCAGCCATGTCTCTGAGCCAGGATTAGGACCTGGGCCTTCAGATCGCAAATCTTCAGGCTCCCCCCTCACCGCACCCTGGTCCCTCAAATACATAGGAATGTATGAACACATATACGAAGACATACACAGTCAGGCCCTACCGTGCACACACACATGAAACACTGCAGGGTATCTCTGGGTTTTCTTCTTTTATTTGGGAGGAAGGGGAGTGCAGAGGAGAGTCCCCTGCAGCCCTGGGCTCCTATAATGGGGAGCAGCAGCAGTAGCCTCCCTTTTTGGGGGGCCCTTCCCTTTTGCTAGCTGCCTAGCCTCCTGCTAGGCTGGACGAGGGGGCCCCATGGGGGCTGGTAAGGGCAGAGACAGGGGACAAGTGGTGGCAGCTGCCCCAGGACATCGACGTCACAAAGCTCCCTCCACCCATCCCAGGGGCAGGTTCCTGGCCGGAGGGTCCATCTGTCTGTCCATCCACCTGTTGGGTCAGACCAAGCTTTCGGCCACACTGGTGTCCAAAAAGCAGCTGACTCCGTGGGGGATTCGGGACCTGGACCCAGGGTAGGGAGAGGCCGGCTTCCCGGGGCTGTCCTCCTCACCTTGGTCCTTTGCGAAATAGAGAAACACCTGGCGGAACAGGATGTGGAGGGTGGCGTTAATTCAAGAAGAGAGCCAGTGCACAGAGGGATTGGAGATGGGGGAAGGGAGTCAGGGAAGGTTTCTTGGAGGAGGTGGCCATGAGCCAGGGCCCTGAATGACAGGCGGGATCCAGAATGACTCTACCCTTAGTCTAAAGCTGAGCCCCTCCCATCCAGCCTGATCTCAAACCTGGTCAAGTGTGGTCTGGGTTACAGAGAAGTCCTCGATGCCCAGGCGGGGGCTGTGGGTGGCTAGTTCACTGAAGAGGCGAGCCAGTGGGCAGTGCCCAGTAGGTAGCTGATATCGCAGCAGGCAGCCGTGGTGTTCCTTGAGCAGGGCTCCGGGGAAAGAGGCCTCCATGAAATTCTGGGCGGGCTCTGGGTGTGAGGTGGGCACTCGCAGGGACACTGTGTAGCCCTCTCCAAACCTGTAGGAAGCACCACGCTCTGGCTGAGCCCATGCCTAGCCTTCTCCTCTGCTCCGCGGCTGGAGAAGCAAACACTTGAAGGAGTGTTGCAGCACGGAACAGTCGGGCTCACTCTGCGTGGCCCCAGAAGGCAATGGTGGGTTGGGAAAGAGTCATGGGGAGGAAGGCAAAGAAGAGCTGCCTAAGAATTAAGGCTGTCTTAAAGTGGAATGGGCTACCTTGGGAGGTAGGTAATGAGCTCCCTGTTCAGGTATGGGTAGCCCCTGAGGATCCTTTCAGCTTGGTGATTCTGATTCTGAACCTCAGAAACATTATCCAGGGCAGCCCAGGGGGGGATGAGCCCCACCCCCGTCCCCTTCCACCAGTTACCTGTTCTTAAGATGCTGGGCACTGCCCAGGCACCGGAAACGCCCATTCACCATGATGGCCAAGCGGGTACAGAGAGCCTCACACTCTTCCATACTGCCAGGACGGTGTAGAACAGGGGAGGGGCAGGGGCAGGCCAAAGGTCAACAGCCAGAGGCCTGAGCCCAGGTCTCCTCTCCTCCAGCTTCCACTGAATCTAATAGATGTGATTTACCCTGGGCTCCCTAACCCCCAAATCTGTCCCCTTCCCCAGCCCATGCCTCCTCTCCTCTAGAATCTGACGCTCCAACCCCGGCTCTCCCCTTCCAAAGTGTCCTCTCTCCCAACCAAGGTCTCCTTTCCCAAGAATCTATTCCCTCACCTGTAGGGCCCCCCCCCAACAATGTTCCTTCCTTCACCCCACGCTCTCATCTCCACCTAGTGGCTTCTTCCCTTCAATCTTATACTCCCTCTCTCTTTCCCTCCTCTCTCTCTCTCTCTCTCTCCTACCTGTGTGAGGTAAGCACCACAGAGCGTCCCTCCTTGATCACACCCAGGACACTGTCCCAGAGGCAGCGGCGAGCCTGGGGGTCCATTCCGGTGGTGGGCTCATCCTTGGGGGCAGAGGCCCAGAAGGGAGTACCAAACAATCAGACCAGACTGGAGAGGTGCCCAGGCCTCCACTCCTGCCCTGAAGCCCTGCACACTGAGAGGTCCTGTCCCAATCTCCTTCTCCGCACAGGCAAAGATCTCTCCTCAGGTTGGGTTGGGAAGAAGCTCATTCAAATACCCTTCATCTCTTACTTCCCTTACTCCCATAGCCTCACAGAATCTCTGGATTTTGAGTTGAAATGACTTGAAATCTAGCCCAACCTCTTCATTTTACATCTGGTTCTATACCAAGGCCTACAGGGGAAGTGACTTAACCAAGGTCATACTGCTGGTGCCAGAACTCAAACCCAGGTCCTCTGAACCCCAAATCTAGGGCTCCTTCAACTATAGTGTATTGTCACCTCATCCAATGCTTCCACTTTACAGATAGGGAAACTGAGGCCCAGAAAAAGAAATAAAGTTGTTCAAGGTCACCTAGAACTGATGACTATGGTAGAGCAGGAAACAACTTCCCCTCTCACTTCAGAAGAAGGTGGTGGGTCAGTGAGGCTCAGGGCTAGAGGCTGGGAATTCCTGGGTTTGCTCCGGCTCCATGCCTCAGTTTCCCTACTTCTCAAAAGGGCACAACGACCCCCTCCACAAAGAAGGGGCGTGCGAGTTAGGAGGGGGTGACCCTGAGGATTCTGTCCCCCTCCCCAACCAAGATTCTGAGCGCCTCACCAGGAAGATGACCGGTGGTCCTCCCACCAGGGAGATGGCTGTGGACAGCTTCCTCTTGTTTCCACCACTGTAGCGCCCGAGGGCTGGTCTGCATACTGCAGCAGCCCCAGCTTGGTCAGGACCCACTGGGCCACCTGCCAACGGGAGAGACCAGGAGGAGCTCACCCGAGGCTGTGGGGCTCCAAGTGGGCTCCAGACCACGGGGGAGGCCGAGGAGGGGCACAGGGGGAGTCAGGGAGAACACCGCCAGCTTGAGAGGCTATAAATGCAATTCCTCTTATGACAAAACCAATGTCACATCTCCCTTTGCATGATGCAATGGAAAGAGCCCTGGAATCTGGACTCGGGAGATCTGGGTTCAAATCCTGGCTCTGCCTTTTCCTAGCTGTATGACCTTGGGCAAGTCCCTCCCTCCTAGAAGCCTGACTTTCCCTGTCTCTAAAATGGGGGTACCGATTCTTGTGTGTTCTTTGTCTCTTCCTAAAGAGCACTGGAAAAATGGGAGCTTTTAAGAACAAAAATCTGGCATTTATTAAGCACCTACTGTGTACAAGACCGTATCACAGTACCTTTTATAGGCCCATCAGGTGAGGGTCGGAAGAGAAGGAGCCTTAAAGATCATCTAATCCAACTCCAAGTTCTCCAGCCTCCCCTTTGCCCTCATTTCACCCTCCCCTCCACTTACCTCCCCCTTAACCTGTCTACATGTCTTTGTCCTCTGACCCCATCCAGATGAACGCTCCCTGAGGCAGGGGCCATGTCCTAGCTCGGCCTCCCAGCTACAAGCCCCAGAGGAGCAACCAGGCTTTCACCTAAGGCTGGGTGCTCTGAGTGTGGCCACGTACAAGACATGACTCCAGACTGGTGAAGAGAATGCCCAACACCACCCAGCACTGAGACCCAGGGATTGAGGCGACTTGTCCAGGGCCACGTAGCTAGTAGGCAGGAAGAGGATCTTAACTCAGGTCCTTTGGTAGTGAATCCTCACATTCTTCCCCCATACCATTACATTTTACAGATGGGGGAAATCAAGGCCCAGAGACAGTAACAGGTGGTTATGGAGAAGGAAAAAAACCAAACAACCTCACCTGGGGGTCAACTCTCAAGCAGTACACACTTAGAGGGACGAATCCTCCCCCACAACAGAACCAGCATCTATAACAGGGGCTGTCCCGAAAACTGTCCCAGCTCAGCAGGACGCACCAGGTGTGGGCTCTACCAGCAAAGCCTTCAAGGGCCCAGAGTTGCCCCCACTAATGAAAGCAACCCAGGTATCCAGCCAGCCTGCGTCAGCCTCCTTGTTTGATACCTCGTGGAGGTACAGAGTGGGAACACCTTCAGGTGTGGGCCAGGTCTGTGGTCCAAGGACCAGCCCGGGATGGGTCTCCTCTTCACCTCAGCCTATTACGAGCCTGGATTTCTTCAAGGCCCAGCTCAAATGTCACCTTCTTTTTTTTTGGGGGGGTGAGGCAATTGGGGTTAAGTGACTTGCCCAGGGTCACACAGCTAGTGAGTGTCAAGTGTTTGGTCTGAGGCCAGATTTGAACTCAGGTCCCCCTGACTTCAGGGTTAGTGCTCTATCCACTGTGCCACCCAGCTGCCTCCAAATGCCACCTTCTTTAAGAGTCTTTCTTGGTCTTCCTTCCCTCGCCCTTCCCACCCAGTCCCTTGTGCCTTCTCTCCCCAATGAGCTTCTATCTATTTTGCATTGAGCCATGTGGGGAGCTGGGGTCTCCTCTGCATCGATTCTTTGAGAGCAGGAAGTGTTTCCCTTTTGATTTTGCATTCTCAATGCTTGGTATATAATAGGTGCTTAATAAATGCTTGTTTCTTGGTTGATCACCAATAATGTATTAGCTTGGCCAAGGTGATTCAGGAAGCAATCCGGCAAGGCTCAGGCCTAAGGCAGGCTCTCCCTCGGGGCAGAGGCCTGGGAACGGGGCACCAAGTCCTCAAACTGGGCTGAGGATGGGCCACTCCCACCCTGTATCCCTGCAGAGCATGTAGAATCCCCACGGACTTGGGTTCCCCTGGGACAGTGGGGATAGCACTTTCACATTTACAAAGCATTTTTATACAGATTTATCTTACTGGATCCTGACACCCACCCTGTAAGCAGGGCAATTCCACTTTGTACATGTGAAACTGAGGCTTGGACAAGGGAAATGACTTGCCCAAGGTCCTACAGCAAGTGGCAGAACCAGGATCTGAACCCAGTTCTCCTGATTCCAAGCCCAGGGTTCTGTCCATGATGCCATGCTGCATCCTGGATGCTGGCCATCCCCCAGGAGCAGTAACTGTGTGTGTGTGTGTGTGTGTGTGTGTGTGTGTGTGTCTGTTTCTGTAAGTGAGTCTTAAATGAAACTGTGGAATTAAGTCTCCACCACCAGGAGTCCTGGTCTCTTGCTGTCCAGTCCCATGCTCTATTCTGTAGTTTGCACTGCAGGATAAGCCACACTGCAACACACCAGAGCTTGTGAACAGCTGGGCCTCTGTGTAGGATAGTGGCAGAGGCAGGGATGAGGTTGAGGGCTCTTTGCAGGTTCAGAGTTAATGGAAACAGGGTACCCTGGGGGACTTACCTGGGCAACCTCTCCCTCAGGTACCCCCCGGAGCCGGAGAAAAATTCCAGGTGCTCTCGGCCAGTCAACAGCTCTGTGATGGCGTCAAACTGGGGGCAATAGCCCATGTGGCTCTGGGCTGCCTGCAGGTCATTCTGGATGCTGTGGGGTGGGTGGGGTACGAGGAGATGGGGCGGCAGAGGGATGGGAAGAGAGGGTAGGGGACAAAGGCATGGAGAGGGAGGATGAAGGTAAAGAATGGGACACAGATGGACGGAGAGAGAAGGATGGTGGGGCTGGGCCTTTTTGTCTTCTAGCAATAGTCTAGGATCTTTGGCAGAGGGGAATCTCCCCTGCCCCAAGTCCCTATCTTCTCCCACTCTCCAGCCTCCCTCCATGAGGGCTCCCCCTTCACTCACCTGCAACCCATAAGGATGGCCTCACCCCCACTCACTGGGTGTCCCCCGTCACCATGCGGAATACGGAAGTCTTCCCTGCCCATTTACCCCCAGGAGCCCAAAACACTACAAGGAGGGAGGGAGGGAGGAAGAGACAAAGAGAGGGAGAGAGAGAGAGGAGAGAGAGAGAGAGAGAGAGAGAGAAGAGAAGAGGAGAGGAGAGGAGAGTCAGTTTGTTAACACTCAATCTCCAGTCCTGCCCTCTGAAAACACACATCTAGACACCCCATAGGCATCTCAAACTTGACATGTCCAAAATGGAACTCATTCTATTTCTCCTCAACCCGCCCTTCCTCCATAAGTCCAAAGTATTTCAGCTGAAGGTCTTGTCTTCCTTCCAGTCACCCCTGACTCTTCTCTCTCCCTGAATCCCCATATCCAGTCAGTTAGCTGTCAAATCCTGCTGACTCCTCTCCCCAACACCTCTCCCATCTGTAACCCCACCCCTCCACTCATGAAGCTTTGATCCTCATCAGCTCTCACCTGGACTACTGTAAGAGCCTCTGGTTGGCCTCCTGGCTAATCTCTCCCCGCTCCAATCCAGCCCTCACACAGTTGTCAAACTGATTAAGTAAAGGTCTGACCCTCTCACTTCCCTACTCAAAAACCTTGAGCCGCTCCCTAGTGCATCCCGGCTTAGCATTCAAGGCCTCCATGGCCCTATGTCCTAGTGGACATTCACTGCTCCAGTCCAGTGCTCTGGGCCTGGCATTTAGGCTTGCACCAGCAGCTTCTCATACCCTGAGATGAGCCCCCTCTCCTCACCTCCTCCCTGCAGAATCCTTAGCTGCTTTCTACGCTCTGCTCAGGTGGAACCCTTCACATCAGACCCGTCCTGACTCCCGCACTTGTTAACACTTCGTTCTTACTAAATATTTGTTGGATTGGATTTATTAGTTACATGACTTTGATCCCCCGTTCCCTCCTCTGTAAAACATGGATAATCAATACTTGCACGGCCTACATGTTGGGGCTCTTGTGCCAAATGTACTTCTAAGCTCTTATCTTTACCTCCCCCGGGGGGATCCCCATGCACACATGGTCCACAGCTGGCTTCTTCTGGCCCCGGTATATCTGGCAAAGTGTGGGAGAAGGAACAGAGATGTTGCAGACAGATCCATGGCCCCACGTGAATACCCAGATATTCAAACAGACACCTGCCCCGGGGCTCCCCTGTCCCTCACCTTGGTCAGGTCCTTCAGCACCAGGACGTCTCCCTGGGTGGCCCCCTGCCGAACCCGTTCCCGTTCCTGGCCCACGTCCTCATCTTCTTCCTGGTCCTCCTCTCTCAGCAGGGCTGAGGCCCCAGAGACCATCGGGGTACACACAGAGTAAGTGTGAAAGCACTTACCACAACCTCATCCCCATCCCCTAGATTTCTCATTTTGCAGCCCCCCCCAATCCTATACCCCCAGGTTCCTGGGAACCTTTCTCCCTTTTTTTAAAAACAATTTTTAGTTTTCAATATTCACTTCCATGAGACTTTGAGTTTTAAATTTTCTCCCCCTCCCTCTCTCCCCTGCCGAAGATGGGATGCAGTCTGATACAGGCTCCACTTATACATTCACATTAAGCACACCCTCTCTCCTCTTCTCACTCAAATCCCAAGAGCACTTATTGCTACCTCCCTGGTTCCTAGCCCCAGGTTCCCCCCAGATCACTGCTCCTTGTTCTTGACCCCCAGCCTCCTCAGGGCTGACCTAGGTAGGAGACGGGCTCGGTGCTGCAGGAGGAGGGTCAGGAGAAGGAAGACAGGGCCCTGCAGCCCCATAGCAAAAAGGTTCTTGCCGACCAGCTCCCAGCTCAGGGGGACTGGAACTGCTCGTCTCCTGTGGAGAAGGAGCCCACATTAGGTAGGAGCCTTGTGGGCCTGCACGCTGGCCACTGCAGTGGGATAGGTGAGCCAGGAGGAGAGGAAAGCGAGCCGGGCTCTCTGGGACTCTGGCTTCTCTTATCCTGATTCTGAAGCTGTCAACTGAGGCTTCCCTTGCCAGAGCTCCCTACTGCCCACTGCACCCAAACTAAAATCTCAGGTTAAATTAAAACAAGCCTGTCCTGAAAAAGGGACCTGACAAACTAGAGAGAGTGCCAGGAAGACAACTTCCTCTTACTCTTTATTTGTCTTGTTATTCGGTTGGGTCCAACCCCATTTGGGTTTTCTTGGCAGGGATACTGGAGTGGTCTGCCATTTCCTTCTCCGGCTCATTTGACAGATGAGAAACTGAGGCAAATAAGGTTAAGTGACTTGCCCAGGGTCACACAGCTAGTAAGAGTCTGAGGCCTCATTTGACCTCAGGTCTTCCTGACTCCAGGCCCAGCGCCCTGTGCACTATGGCGCTACCTAGCTGCCCGTTTTCCTGTGTCTACCCTTACATCCCAAGCACTCAGCACAATGCCTGGCACAAGAGTTAAGTGCTTACAAAATGCTTTTGACTCGACTTGCTGGCGGGTTTGGTTATCTTGCCTCCGCCCGAAGACCTCCAGGGAGGGGAAACTACCGGCCACCCTCTGCTGGAAGAGTTTCCTGGCATTGAGCCTAAACTACTCTAACTCCTACCTACTGACCCCGATCCTTCCTTTTGGGGCCAAACAGAAAAGCCCCAGCCCCCTTTCAGCCCAAGACCCTTCAGAGGCTGGAACGTCTCCACCTTCCCCTTCCTCACCCCAGTCTGAGTCTTCTCCGCGCTAACCAAGCCTCCTGTTTGGACTCAGGGCCCTTCGCTGTCCTGGCTGGCCCCCTCTGGACCCTGTCCAGCTTATCAGCATCCTTAGACTGAAGGGCCCAAAACTGAATGTGGTACCCTAGATGAAGTCTGTACAAGGCCCAGCACAGCAGGACTGTTCACACCAGGGCCTTCTGACTCCAAAGGGAGTCCTCTTTCTAGAGGTTGCCAAGGACTTCCTACACAACACTCCCATAAAAAAACCGCAAAAATTATTATCTCCATTTTACAAGTGAAGAAACTGAGGGTTGGAGGTGAGGAGATTTATTCAGTTACACACGGTTATTAAGTGGATGAGCTAGGACAAGAAGGCACGTCTCCTGGCTTCAAGCCTAGCCTTTCCACTGCCCAATGTTGTTTCTCAGGCTGAGCAAAGTCTCCTAGCCTTGTGACGTCCTCCTTGAATGGCAGTCTGGGGCGGCAGAAAGAGCCCGGGACTGGCTCAGGGGACCCAGCTGCTAGTGCCAGCTCTGGGGTTAACTCTCTTTGGGGCCTGAGACAAATCACTCCCCTTTTCTGGGCATCAGCTTCCTCCTTTGTGACGGGAGGGGGGCCGGACCAGATGGAATGTTCTTCACCTACTGCTTTCTGTTTTATGCTTCCAGGTGACCCCACAGGGATCAGCCCTTTTTCAGAGATCAGAGCCTAGTACACCTGAATCATAAAATGAACAGAGCACTGGGTGTTGACTCCTTCTTTCTGATCTTACACCTCTGAGTCCCGCCCCTTCTGCTGTGAGGGAGGCTACGTCAGGCCAGAGTTTGGGCTGTTCTTGCACCCAGATGCTGCCTCTCCCACACCTAACAGCCAACCCAAAAGAGCCATGTATACAAGCTGGCAGTCCTTAGGAAACAGAATGTCAGAGCTGGGAGGGCCCTAAGAACCCAGGATGTCAGAGCTGGGAGGGCCCCTAGAACCCAGGATGTCAGAGCTGGGAGGGCCCCTAGAACCCAGTATGTCAGAGCTGGGAAGGTCATTAGAACACAGAATGTCAGAGCTGGGAGGGCCCTTAGAACACAGAATGTCCAAGTTGGGAAGGCCCTCAGGACACAGAACATAAGCTTCATCTCAGCTAGTTGAGGGACACTCACCTAGGCGCAGGAAGGCATCAGCCATAGCTTGGTTCCGAACCATGTCAATGAGCCCTCGGCCTAGGCAGAAATGCGGGAAAATGAGGAAAACTCTCTTCAGAATCCAACTCACATCCTTCAGTTTCTGTTTGGGGCAAAGAGGCAGGTCAGGGGACCCTTAATACAATTCCCCCCTTCCCCCAGGAACCTAATCTAGAGATTTAACCACCCATCTACTATAGTGCCAACCACCAGACCACCCAAACCTGGTTGGAAAAGAGCTCCAGTACAAAAGTGGCCACACTGCTGTTGATGCCAATGAAGAGGTTGAGGCAGGTCAGGACCACGTAGGCTGTGCTGGGCACAGAGAACAGGAAGGAGGCTGGGTACATGAGGGGAGTGATGGACCAGCTGGAGAGGAAGGAGAAAGGATGCATGGGGATCATGGAAGGCACAGGGCCTGTGGGAGAAGACAGGCATCACAGGACAGACTGGTACTTTGGAGGCTTGGGCATTATGGTGGCCTGGAGCCAAAGAGGAATGGGCGCAATCAGTGGGGATCAGTGGTGCGACAGACATGGGCCCTGAAGGAAGAACTAGGAACTCTCTGAGGCCGTGGGCATCTGCGGAGCTGGCAGAGGGCATTAGGTAGGGGCCTCACCCATACAGCAGCAGCAGCAGGAGGAGGGCAGGCAGATTCGGCGGGGCCACGTACGCCCGCTGCTGGAAACCCAGGAAAATGAGCACCACTAGTGCTGCTGGCACCAGGTAGTTACACTGTGGGGGCAGGAGGCGGCCCTGTCACTACCCGCCACTTCCCCCACTCCCGTCACCACCCCACAGCTAGGTGCAGCAGGTCTCCCCAAATTCCAAGAATTCTGGACCCACCAGGGAAAGCGGGCACTGCCTTATGTGCCCTTGGGCAAGTGTCTTCTCTGGACCCCAGTAAAATGAGAGGGTGGGGCCTATCCAGGTCTGACACTCTATGTTCTAAGAGCCCTCCCCACTCTGACATTCTGAGACCGATGCCTGAAGGGGTTCCTGGGATGGGCGGGGAAAGACCTGAAATCAGCCTGCTCGAGGTCCTCTCACCCCCATATCTTCCTGCTCTCGGCGTTTACAACAGCGAGCACAAGTGATTCAGAACTTGAATCTGTCCTGTCTCATGGGTCTCTTTTTCCTACGTGAGCTGTGTCTCCGCAGTGGGAATCTCTGCTCTCTGAGGGAGGGCCTGAGTTTTCCCAGAAGAATCTTAGTATGTCAGAACTGGGAGGAACCTTACTTAGAACATGGAATGTCAGGACTGGGAGGAACCTTAGAACATGAATGTTAGAACTTAGAGGGACTTTAGAATACAGACTATCCGAACTGAGGGGCCTTAGAACATAGGACATCTGATGGGGAGGAGTGGAGAGGGGAGGGCTGGTGGTAGCATGGAACACCTTAGAACAAAGAATAAACAATGGTACAGCTGACAGGGGCTTAGAACACAGAAGAATATCAGAGCTAAGAGGAACCTTAGAACATAGAATGTCAGGGCTGGACACAGGATGTCAGAATCTGTAAAAGTGTAAAGACCATCTGACACCCGGAGCAGAAGCCTCACGTGTCAGGACAACAATAGTGCCTGGAGCAGAAACCACGGCTACTAATCCCTTGACCCATGGCTATGTCCTCAGCCCTACCCTAGCCCCCTCTTACCATGTCCCATGCAAAATTGCCCAGCCAGTACAGGGTTGGAGGCAGGCCCCCTAGGAGCTGCAAGTGCTTGGCTCGGCTGACTCTGTCTTCGATGAGGAAGAGCACGAAGCTGGCTGGGACGAAGGACATGGCAAAGAGCACACAGATGGACACCAGCACATCCACTGAAGAGGCCATCCTAGGAAAGGGCTGGGGGTTACTGGCCGCTGGCTGAGGTCAAGGGTAAGGGAAAATCACAGACGCAGAAGGAACGAGGAAGAAGCTGGTGGAGGGCTTGCAGCTGGGTCTCCTGAGAGACCACCAACCATGGGGCTACAAGGCTACAAGGTCAGAGGTCATGGGATAAAGGCCAGAGGTCACATTGGCTTAAAGGAATCCATGATTAAGATCATAGATCACCGTAGGTCACCAAGCATGGGGTTAAAGATTATAATAGAATAATGGTTAAGATCATGGAGGTCATGGAGCACTAGGTTAAAGGTCAGAATAAAATGATCACAGAATTCAGAGTCAGAAGGGACCTTGTTTTTTTTTTTTTTGCTAGGCAATGGGGTTAAGGACTTACCCAGGGTCACACAGCTAGTAAGTGTCAAGTGTTTGGTCTGAGGCCACATTTGAACTCAGGTCCTCTTGACTTCAGGGCTGGTGCTCTATCCACTGCACCACCTAGCTGCCCCAGAAGGGACCTTGGACATCACTTGGTCCAACCCTCTCATTTTAGAGTGAAGATTTTGCCAGGACAACAAAGCTGGGATTCCAATCAAACCCAGGCTCTTTCCCCAGCACCATGGTGACTTGGGTAGTTAAGAGGCCAAAGATCACGGAAGTTGGAAACCCTAGGATCATCCAGCTTATAACTGGAAGGATAGATCATCAAGGCCTGGCCTTCTTAACCTATATTATGTGCTAGATACCTTTGACAAGCTGGGGAAGCTAAAGGATCCCTTAAAAAATGTTTATAAAATACATAGGATTACAAAGAAAACCAATTATATTGAAATACAGTTATCAAGATTTTTTTTTAAGTCCATACTGCAGGTTAAAACCCCCTGGTTTAGGTTTGTGACCCCGTTTAGGGTTTTCTTGGCAAAGATACTGATCTAGGTTACATTCATTATTTTGCAGATAAGGCAACAAGAGGTGTGGAAAGGGGAAATGATGTGCCCAAGGCCACACAGCAATGAAATAGCAGAGCTGGGATTCTAACTCAGGTCTTCTTATGCCAAAGTCAATGCTCTTTCCATTATTTCATGTAAATGGGGAAGGAGGCAAGGTCAGACCACAGACCTAAGAACAGCAAGGCCGACAACGAAAAGGGCACCAGAATGTCAAGGGAACAGGGCTCTGGTCAATTACAGCAGTCAATGTGACCACCATACTGCCCCTGGTCAATTACAGCAGTCAGTGTGACCACCATACTGCCCCTGGTCAATTACAGCAGCCAGTGTGAACCACCATACTGCCCCTGGTCAATTACAGCAGTCAGTGTGACCACCATACTGCCCCTGGTCAATTACAGCAGTCAGTGTGACCACCATACTGCCCCTGGTCAATTACAGCAGCCAGTGTGACCACCATACTGCCCCATGTCAATTACAGCAGCCAGTGTGACCACCATACTGCCCCATGTCAATTACAGCAGCCAGTGTGACCACCATACTGCCCCTGGTCAATTACAGTAGTCAGTGTGACCACCATACTGCCCCTGGTCAATTACAACAGTCAGTGTGACCACCATACTGCCCCTGGTCAATTACAGTAGTCAGTGTGACCACCACACTATCCCTGTTCAACTACAATCGCAGTGTGACCACCAATACTGCCCGGTCAATTACAAGCAGCCAATGTGACCACCATACTGCCCCTGGTCAATTACAGTAGTCAGTGTGACCACCACATACTGCCCCTGGTCAATTACAGCAGTCATGTGACCACCATACTGCCCCTGGTCAATTACAGCAGTCAGTGTGACCACCACACTATCCCTGTCAATTACAATGTCAGTGTGACCACCATACTGCCCCTGGTCAATTACAGCAGCCGCTGTGAGCACAATATTGCCAATGGCAAAGGGTATGTCCCTTGCTCTGTTACCACTCAATAAACTAATTATTGTTTGTGACTCTGTAAGTGACTTTTGGGAAACATCTGTTGGCTCAAAACAAAATGTAGCCACAAATTTGAAAATAATGAAGAGATGGCAGAGTCCTAAGGCAAATATAGCTAATATGAGAAAAGAGGAAGGCAGAGAAGTGGGAGGGCCCTGGACATGGGCCAGAGCGGCCTAGGGCCCTGGACACATACTCACAGGGTGGCTTCAGACAGCTGCTCCTTGGTGAGGCTCAGGGGGTGGTTGAGAGTGGTGATGCCGCAGATGCGGGGGTCAGCTCCCGGGGGTGGGTGAGCACGCAGGAGCCCATTGTTCAGCATGTTGACAAAGGCCACCATGGCATGCCAACCCTTGTTGTTGAACCAGACCTAAGCCAAAGACTTCCTGTCACTGCCCCTGGCCAGGGGCCCAGCTCATGACGACCATAATAATGAGTATAATAAGAATGGAACCAGATAGAACATGTTCAGCACAAAGCACTGTATATATGTAACCTCATCTGAGCCTCTGTGAGGTAGGCACTATTATTATCCCAATTTCACAGATGAGAAATATGAGGCTAAGAAAAGTTAAGTAACTTGCCCACTGTCACACAGCTATATGCATATATATATATATATATATATATGTACTTTATATATTATATATTAATCTATTATAATATATATTTATATATAATTTATATAGCTATAAATATATAACTGAGGTGGGATTTAAATTAGGGTAGCAAGTATTTATATGGCACTTTAAGGTTTGCAAAGTGCTTTACACATATTATCTCATAGATTATCTTACAAATATTACTAACCCTGAGTAGGTAGGCCCTATTATTATCATCATCTCCATTTTATAGAAGAGGAAACTGATGATGATGATGTTAGGTAACATTTCTATAGCATTTTACATTTTGTAATGTACTTTACATGTGCTGTCTCATTTGATCCTTATAATAACAACCCTGGAAAGTAAGGGCTATTACTATCATCTCAATTTTTTTTTTTTAGGCAATGGGTTTAAGTGACTTGCCAGGGTCACACAGCTAGTGAGTATTATGTGTCTGAGGCCAGATTTGAACTCAGGTCCTCCTGACTCCAAGGCCGGTGCTCTATCCACCTAGCTGCCCCATTATCATCTCAATTTTACAGATGAGGAAACAGGCTGAGAGGAGTGAAATGACTCATCCAAGGTCACAGGGCTAGTAAGAATATGAGGCAGGGACTTAGTACCATAGTTACACGGCTGGAAGGACCTTCAAAGCCAAGTGCCTTCTTTTACAGGCAAGGGAAACTGAGGCTCAGGGAGCAGAAAGGGCTTGCCCAAGGTCACAGGTCAATGGCAGACCCACAGGAGTCTGGGAGCTAACCCTGAAGATTACTCCAGCAGACCACTGCTCAACTGGAAAGGTAGATAACGTAAGAGTTATAAAAAAGCCAAATGGGTCTACAGTGGCTTGGAAGGTAGAGAGCTCTCCATCACTGGAGAGGGCCTTAAGCAACAGGCATTCCCTGGAGGGACTGTCAAAGAGTGTCTTGCTGGCTGGGATGCCCCAGAGGCTGCACCTTGCTCTGAAATCTGGTGAACTCCTTGGCAATGCTTCTCAGTATATTGAAGAAGGTACTGAGCTTGGATTCAGGGAGACCTGGATTCAGGAAGAGCAAAAGCTGGGTGACCCTGGGCAAGATGCTGCACTTGTCTGCCTTGGTTTCCCTATCTGTAAAATGGAGGGGATGGACTCCATGGCCTCTGAGGTCCCTTTCAGCCCTAAAGCAATGACCCGAACCCACCCCCTTCATTTGCAGAGGAAGAACTGGGGATCCCCCAAAAGGGGAAGTCACTTGCTTGTGGTCACCCGAGGAATAACAAGGAGAATTTGAATCCTAATTCCATAAATGCTGCCTTGTCAGCAAGGCAGCTGGTGGTGCTGTGGATAGAGCACTAGGCCTGGAGTTGAGAAGACACGAGTTCAAATCCAGCCTCAGAAACTTATTAGCTGTGTGACCCTAAGCAAGTCACTTAGCCATTGTCTGCCTCAGTTTCCTCAAATCTTAAAATAAGGATAATAACAGCACCTACCTAGGATCAAATGAGATAATATTTGTTTAAAAAAATACAACATAAGCCTTAGCACAGTGCCTGGCACATAGTAGGTGCTTTGTAGATAGATGCTCATTCCCTTCCCTTGCCCCATCAGCCCACAGGGCATTTTCAGCACCTCAGCTCCCGCCCTTCCCCACTCTGACACCGAGGATCCTGCTTTAGAGAGCGACAGGAGGGCTAGGACAGAGGCCCTGGGTGTCCAGGGCCTGGAGAAGTGGCAGCCCCTTGGCCGCCACTCACCTTCACATTATTCTGTGTGTCCAGACCCTCTGCCCAGGCACTGAGATTCTGTAGCAGATGATGCACTACATTGCTCTAGGCAGGGAGAGAGGACAGTCAGAGACCACCCCTCACCCCTCAGTCCAATGTCCCCTCCTACCCCTGCCTCTGCCCCCACCTCTTCTCTCTCCACACCAACCTTGCCCAGCTAGTCACCTGAGAGCCGTAGAATAAGCGTTGGAACTCCTGGATGGTGCTGAGAATCTCTGGCCCTGAGCCCAGGCCCAGGCTATGGCTGCCCCCCAGGGAGAAGCCCCCATACCTAGAGATGAGGCAGGCCCCGGCTCAGAGCAGGCCTCTACCGCTCTGTCCACAGCCCCGAATCTCCCCTTCCCTGTCCATCCTCTTCCCCTGTTTCTTTTCTGCAAATCTTTTCCCCCAATATGTCCCTCACCCTGACCTTAGCCCTCCCTTCTTGCCTCCCCCATCCGACCACCTCTCAAAGCCTACAAAGAACCTCCCTCAATCTGCTCCCTCCTCTTCCCCTACCCGACCCCACCAGCTCACCTAATCTCATTGACATACTTCTTGGTCCTCAGCCTGAGAGAAGAGAAGAGGGTGAGGGCTTTGGCTGCTCTTCCCCAGAACCAAAAAGGGTTGGGGAGGGGCTTTTCCTCCTGGCCACCACTCACCTAGCCAAGAGTGCCAATACAGGGCAGGGCAGTCTCCCTCTCAGCCCCAGCCCCTCCTTCTTAAAGGCCTGCCTAGGTGTTCGTTAAGTATGTATGACAGAGAAAGGCTTGGGGAACAGGGGGACTAGTGTGGGCAAGGCATTAGAATAGAAAATCTTAAAGTCCCTCCCAGCTCTGACAACTTGTGTTCTAAGGGCCCTCCTAGCTCTGACATTCTGTGTTCTAAGGACCCTCCCAGCACTGACATTCCATGTTCTAAGAGTCCTCCCCACTGACATTCCGTGTTCTAAGGGCCCTCCCAGCCCTGACATCCTTGGTTCTAAGGGTCCTCTCAGCTCTGACAACCTGTGTGTTCTAAGGGCCTTCCCAGATTTGACAGTCTATGTTCCCTGGTGGGGGTGGACAATAAGGAAGAAGGGTGGGTGTAACAGGTGGCAGGGTTGGCAGTGGGACTTTGGGACAGATGCTGAGCAGGGGCCAGCAGAGGCCCTTACCCCTGATTGATGACCCGAGGATAGGTTTTAACCAGATAGTCTGAGATATTTCTTCCTGTCAGATTCTGCATAACATCTCCCGGGCCCAGCTGCATCTGCTCCAAGAAAGAATCTCAGTCCAGGCACAGCCTAACTGCCCTACAACCCAGGGAGGGCTCTGCTTCCCTTCTCTAGGCCTCACCTGGGGAGGTGGAAGGCCCCCTGCTGCTTCTGGGCAGTCAGGGAGCATCTTCCGGGCCCCGGGACTGCTGCACTGGCAGGCGGGGGATGGGAACTGCAGGGTCCAGTTGCCTGTAGTGAAGACTCTAGCCACAGTCTCAGATACTGGGGGCACCCAGAAGCTGTGGTTGGCTGGCCGGGCATAGTCTTGCCCCCTGTAAGGTCACAAGAGTCTGAGAGATGTTGGGATGGATGATTTCCTGGCTGTGTACACACACACACACACACACACACACTCTCTCTCTCTCTCTCTCTCTCTCTCTCTCTCCCCTCCTTCCCTCCAACAGGTACCCACTTGTAACCATTCCTGGTAATCCACCTTCCCCCTGCCCTAATCCTCTGGGAATTAAGCACAATAACAATGACTCATAGCCCTTTAAGAGTTACAAAGCTGACTGCCCCCCACAACAATAACACTGAGGTAGGGAGCGGGCTGATGCTTTAACCTCAGTTCATAGATAAGCATAGTCAAGGTAAGAGAAGCAAATTAAGGAAGAGCTCATGGTCCCACAGTCAGCAAGTGGAAGAAGTAAGACTCAGACCCGCCCGATCCTCCTGCCTCCCCTCTGTGCCCTGACCTCTCTGGAACTCAGTTTCCAATGTGTCAAATGAGGAGTTTAGACTAGATCTCTAAGGGCATTCCAGTCCTAACATTCTAGGTTCTAAATTCCTCCCAGCTCTGACATCTTGGGTCCTAAAAGCCCTCCCAACTCTGACATCTTGGGTTCTAAGGGCCCTCCCAGCTCTGACATCTTGGGTTCTAAGCTCCCAGCTCTGATATCCCTTGTTCTAAGGGCTCTCCCCGCTTTGATATTCTGGGTTCTAAGGGCCTTCCTGGCACTGGTATTCTCTGTTCTAAGAGCTTCCCCAGTTCTGCCATTTTCTGTTTAAAGGCCCTCCCAGCTCTGACACTGTGTGTTCTAAGGACCCTTCCAGCACTGACATTCTGTGTCCTAAGGGCCCTCCCAGCTCTGACATTCCCTGTCCTGTGGTCTAAGTTGTAAGGCACTATAGAGCCAAGAGGACAGAGGGCTTCACGGTCGGGACACTTACAGGCCTGAGCTATTCTTCCCACAAGAGCCCTGGAAGCTGGGCTCAGACAGGAGGGCATTCAATAGCTGGGCATATCTGAGGTTTCCAGGGTCATCCTCACTGTAAACAGAAACACCAGCAAGGAAAACCAAGCCTTCTTGGCTCTTGCCCTCACCCCCCGCCACTGCCCAGCCTGGCCCAGCACTCACCTGAAAAAAGAGACCTGGGACCCATACATGGCCGGCTGGAGCTCCAGGGGCGGATAGTGGCCAAATGGGGGCACGATGAGGCTGAAGAAGAGCGCCAGGCCCACAAAGAAAGCGGGGAGCACAATCTAAGGGCCATCACAGGATGCTCGGTGAAGCGAACCCAGGGTCCCCAGCTTGGTAGAGCCCCCCTCCTTCTGTGCACCCCAGCTCCAGCTCCCCTGTGACACCCTCTGACCTGCGCAAAAAGGCCTCGGCGGCTGCGGCGGGCATGAAGGAACCTCTTGGTGAACAGGGCCCGGAGCTGCTGCCGGTGAGGGCCCAGCCCTGCACGCGCCCAGAGGTGCCCGGCTCTCCACGCAGAGCCTGCATTTCTGCAGAAACAGCCCCTGCTGGGAATAAGAGCAGTGGCACCAGGAGGGCAGGGAACAGAATCACAAAAGAATCAGACTTGGGAGTCAGAAGGGACTCTAGAAGCTATTTAAACCAGGGTGTCAAATTTTCGGGGCCCCATGCTGCCCACACTCCCGAATGCTGCCCTGACCAGATTAAAATGTAACTGGGAAATGTCTGACAAAATAAAATTACGATACAACACAGATAACGTTACTTTGTAGTTTTCTAAGTCAATCTACTATCACAGGGATCTGCTTCTATTTGAATTTTCCACCACTAATTGAGGCTGACTTCTTCATTTGACACAGGGGGAAACTGAGTCTTAGAGAAGGAAAGTGACTTGCCCAAGGTCATATAGTCAAAAAGCAGCAGACAGACCCCTGTGCCCCTTCTGAGGTAGCTAGGTGACTCAGTGAGTAAAGTGCTGGGCTAGCAGTCAGGAAGACTGTATGATTCTGTATGAATCAGCTGTATGATTCTGGGCAAGTCACTTAACTTTTTTGCTTCAGTTTCCTCATCTATAAAACGGAGATAACAGTAACTCTTACTTCTCAGGGTTGTGAGGATCAAATGGGATAACTGTAAAAAGCGCTTAGCACAGTGCCTGGCACACAGCAGGTGTTACATAAATGCGTATTCCCTCTCCCTTCCCTCTAAGTACAAACCCCAGGCTCTTTCAATGCCAATGCTAGGGAGGGCATACTCACCCACATCCCCATTCTCCTCTGCATGCTCCTCGCTCATCCTCCTTTGGCAGGGGGCAGAGGCTGGGGCAGGCACACCCAGCCGAAGGGGCTGGCCCTCCCCATCTGCCAAGGAGACAGAGGTTGTCTATGAAGGGAGATGCTGCTGCTATCTAGATCAGCAGCAGGAATTCGACTATCGGACATGCCCCCTACAATGGGGACAGGGCCTCACCAACCCCTCCACACTCTCGCCAAGCTTCTGGTGGTCAGTGGTGGCTGGCAGAGTTAGTGCCCCAATCTGGGTTCAGAGCCAGGAAGTACCATGAGGTCACCTGGCTCCCCACAGACACCTACCCCCCTGGTTCAGATAGACCTCTTAAGAGGTTCAAAGAGAATCTCTCTCCTGAAAGCTCCTTATGGTAACAGTAATACCTTCTGGTCCTTATCGACTCCACTGTCCTCGGCCACCTTCAAGAAGATCTGGAGGGGGAGATGAGGGGCTGGGAAGGAGGGCAGAGGCCCCTGTGGGGTGAGGGGAGATCTGGGGAAGAGGCATCTTGGTGGGGGAGAGGAGACCTCAGAAATAATAGAATGGTGGGGAACGGAAGGCAAGACTAGAAGGGATTGGGGGAGGGAGCCCTGGCTGTGAGGAGGAAAAGGAAGGGCCAGAAGGTCCAGAGCTGGAAGGACGCTCAGACTCATTTGTTTTGACCCCCACACTTTAGGGATGAGGTGACATGTTCAGAGATCAAGGAACTTGCCCAAGATGACACTGGTAAGAAGGCCTGGAATTCAAACCCAGGTCCTGTGACTCTCTGGGGTTTACTGGAAAAAGGGAGGGGACACTCCAGAGACCCCTTTCTCCATAGAACCCTGTGGATAGGGGGGAGAAATTTGGCAATAATGGGACGGAGAGGAGAGAGGAAACCTGGGAGCCCAACTGGCCTTCAGCCTTCTCTACCTCCTCCAGGGTGGTGTCTGAGATCCATAGCCAGAAACACCCAGCTCCGCAAGGTGCCTGTCCAGCTCCTGAAATAGCTCCCCAAAGGCCCCGTTATGGGCCCCAGAGTACGGCAGGGTCAGCACCACCTCATGGCCTAGCTCCTCCACCAGCTGGGCCCCAGGGACAAGGCTCTGTACAAGTGTGAGCAGCTGGGCCACATCTAGGCAAGAGGAGATGGAAGGGCCTTCAGAACCTCCCCCTTCATGTGGGGGAGACACATATGGAACACAGGCTGTTAGAACTAAAAGAGGTTTTTGAACACAGAACACAGGATGTTAGAAATAGGAGGGCTCTTAAAACCCAGGATGTCAGAGGTGGAAGGGCCCTCAGAGCACAGGATGTCAGGGCCGGGAGGGCCCTCAGAACCCAGGATGTCATGGCTGGGAGGGCCCATAGGACACAGGATGTCAGGGCTGGGAGGGCCCTTAGAATCCAGGATGTCAGGGCTAGGAGGGCCCTTAGAACAAAAGATGTCAGGGCTAGGAGGGCCCTTACACCCCAGGATGTCAGAGCTGGGAGGGCCCTTAGAACCCAGGATGTCAGAGCTGGGAGGGCCCTTAGAACCCAGGATGTCAGGGCTGGGAGGGCCCTTAGAACCCAGGATGTCAGGGCTGGGAGGGCCCTTAGAACCCAGGATGTCAGGGCTGGGAGGGCCCTTAGAACATAAGCTGTCAGAGCTGAGAGGAAACACTGGAACACAGCCTCTAAGGATACAATGGGCTGGCCCATCAGGGACTCACCAGTGGCATCAGCTGGGCCACCTTCTTTGCTTTCCAGGTCTCTGGTCCCGCTCCTCTCCAGTCTGCCATAGTCCTGGTCCTGGGGGTAGCAGGGTACCATGAGCAGAGCGGGGACAGTGACAAGGAGGGCCCTGGTCATGCCCTAGGGTCTTGGGCCTTTCCCCTCCCCACCCACCTCAGCCCTGTCGTGCCCCCCCAATGGCCTGAGTCCCCACCTTCCCAGCCTTGGGGAGCACAGTTGGCCGGCGCTTCACCAGGGTCAGATAGTAGCCAGTGCCCAGACGGCTCTTCAGGAAGAGGGGAGACCCGCAGCAGCGCAGCTGGCCCCCTGCGATCATCGCCACACGGTCTCCCAGTAACTCTGCTTCATCCATATAGTGAGTGGACAGGATCACTGTGCGACCTGTGGGGATGGCAAGGTGAGAAGGCCCCTGGGAGCTCTGGAGGCTTCCTGGGAGAGGCTGGCCTTCAAAAGAGGAAGGAGTCTCAGGACAACCCTCAGTAATCAGGGAAGACTTTCAGGAGGAGGTGGCACTTAAGATGGGTCTTGAGGGGGCAAAGATGTGGACTGAGTGGAAGAGGACATTTTCTGGAAGGAGGGAGATATTTCTGAGGATCACAGGATTAGAAGCCATCAAGTCCAATCCAATTTTACAGATAAGGTGACTTGCCCAAGGTCTCATAGTCACTAAGCTTCTAAGGGCAGGATTTGAATCCAGGTCTTCCTTATTCCAAGTCCAGTGTCCTGTCCACAGCATTATCTGTCCCTCCAAGAGTTGAGAGGGGAGAGATGAGGGTCCCCAGCATGAAGGGGAAGAGATGTTTACTCAAGAGCAACTTCTCAGTGAGCAGGTCCAACCCCCGCACCCACCTTGCCGATATTTGAGCAGCAGCTCCCAGATGGCTCGGCGGAGAATGGGTCCACACCGGCTGTAGGTTCATCCAAGATGACCACTCGGGAGCCACCCACGAAGGCAATGGCTACGGACAGCTTCCTCCGCATCCCGCCTGAGACATGGGGGACACATTCTCACCGAGCAGTTGGGACTCCCACCTTCCAGCCTTCCTCAGTATCCAGTACAGCCAGGAGTCCAGAGGGGAATAGGGACAGGAGAGGGAAGATGGCGAGAAGGGAGAGCAGAGGGGCCGCCAGGCCCTGAGTTCGGCGTAGGGGGCCAGGCACATGAAATCAGAGTCACAATGTTCTGAGTGACTTTAGAGGTCACCTCATTTAATCTGACTTTTTTTTTTTTAGGCAATTGGGGTTATGTGACTTGCCCAGGGTCACACAGCTAGTAAGTGTCAAGTATTTGGTCTGAGGCCAAATTTGAACTCAGGTCCTCCTGACTTCAGGGCTGGTATAATCTAACTTCCTCATTTTATGGATGAAGAAACTGAGGCCTTGAGAAGATCAGTGACTTGTGGCTAATAAGAGGCACTATTAGTAACTAAACCCAAGTATCTTGATTCTAAATCCAGGATTCCAGGACCAAGACAAGGAAAAAGGGCCCCATCTCCGCTCTCTCCTGCCAAGTTTACCCATTCCCCAAATCATATGGTGTTGTGGCAAAGGGCTTGCCTTTGGAGTCAGAAGACCTAGGCTTGATTACTCGATCTACTACTTCAAACCCATGTGACCCTAGGCAAGTCATTTCTCTTTCTAAGCCTCACTCTCCATTTTTATAAAATGAATGAGTCTATATTTCTTTTTTTCTTTTAATTAATTTATTTTGATTTATCAACAATTACTTCCATAAGCTTTCGAGTTTTAAATTTTTCTTCCCTCCTTCCCCGAGTACATGTTTCTAAGTTCCATTCAAACTCTATAAATGATTTTAATTAGTCAGCCAGCGAGCATTCATTAAGCTCCCACTACAATCTTCTAGGCAGCTGGGTGGCATAGTGGATAGGAGACCGGAAATGGAGTCAGGAAGACCTGAGTTCAAATCCAGCCTCAGACACTTACCAACTGCATGACCCTGGGCGAGTCATCTAACCCTATCTGGTTCAGTTTCCTCATCTGTAAAATGAGCTGGAGAAGGAAATGGCAAACCATTCCAGTGTTTTGGGTTTTTTTTGCCAAGAAAACCCCAAAAGGGGGTTCCAAGAGTCTGAAATGACTTACCAACAAAAATCTCATAATCTCTATTCTCTGACCTGCCACCCAAACTTCAGTTCCCCAGCTCCTACGCTCTGATGGTCACCTTGCCCTAGGGGTCAATTCAAGTTGATTTAAGCATTTACTTAGCAACCACTATGTCCCAGACACTGTACTAGGTGCTCTACAAAGACAAAAATGAAACAAAAATCAAGTTCCTGTCCTCAAGAAACTTACATTCTACTGGAGGAGAAAAGTATGCAGAGATATATAAACACTATGTATATATAGATACATCTATATTTATAGATACATAGATAGATAGAGATAAACACCACATAGCCAGTCTGACCAGCATCTCGCACTCATTTGGTCCAAAACTGTTTCTCTTCCCCATAAAGCTTCCCTCCTGACTTCCCTTCCCTCCTCATCTTCTGCCCAAGAATGGGTCCCTGTCCCGTGCTCTTCTCACAACCCTTGACTCTACGCCTTACAACCCCCTCCCACTCCTCCCACTCTCAGTGACACCAGTGAAGGGTGAGGCCAGCTTTACTCTCCGGCCTCCTACCTGGCCCCCCTGCCTCCAGTGTCTCCTGTAGAAACCACCAGAGTCCTTCCTCAGCTCTGCCAGCTTTCACAGTTCTCCACAGCCCACTGAGGAAAGCCCAAATTCTACATTTTCTGGCCTCCTTGACCTCGTTTACAACATCCCTGACTGCCTGCAGCCCTCACCTCCCCTGCTCTAGTCATCTGGGAGCCTTCGAGCCACCCCTGAGCCAAAGAACCTGGCCCTGGCCCCACAATGTCCTGTCCCAGTCTCTCACTGTTCCTACTGTCATCCTTGTCTCTAAGCCAGACTAGATACTCCCTGAGGGCAGGACTGCTCTCTTCTCCTGCTAGCTTCCCTTTGACACGGTGGAGCTCAGAATGCAGGAGGGTTGATAGATGGAGAGAGGGAGAGGGTCCAGGAGACAGGGATGAGAGGGGCCCATGCCCCAAGCTCACCAGAGAGGTGACGAGTCTGCTCTTGCCGCTTGTGTGGGAGCCCCACATCCTGCAGGAGGCGAGGCAGCTCCTGGCCCACTGCTGCCTGGCTCAGCCCCTTCAGACGCCCATAGAACCAGATATGTTCTTCCACAGTCAGACTGGGAGCAGGAAGAGAGAGTGAGGCCCACCTCCAATGCCCAGGGCACTCCTCCTGAGGGCATCCCCAGCCTGGAACAATGACCCTTGCCTGCCCCCTCCCCTGAGCACCTCAACTAGCCATGGGACACTGGGCAGGCCTTTCCCCCTTGAGGTCACAGATGACATCAAAAAATGAGAGGGTCAGTGAGATTGTTTCCAAGTCCCTTCTGGCTCTAATATTTTGTGCTTTAATGTTTTAAGGCTTCTGCTCTCCCCCAACTCCACCTCTTGCCCCTGACACCGCATGGCCTACAGGCCCTCCTAGGTCTGACATCCTGTGTTCTAAGGACCTTCCCAACTCTGACATTCTATGTTCTAAGGGCCCTCCCAGCTCTGACATCCTGTGTTCTAAGGGCCTTCCCAACTCTGACATTCTATGTTCTAAGGGCCCTCCAGCTCTGACATCCTGTGTTCTAAGGGCCTTCCCAACTCCGACATTCTATGTTCTAAGGGCCTTCCCAGCTTTGACATTCTGTGTTCTAAGGAGCCTCCCAGCTCTGATGTTCCACATTGTCAGGTCAGTTCCTGGCCCCTGTGACCTACATATCGAAGAGCACGTTATGCTGGGGCAGAGGCCCAGGTTGCGGTGCACAGCTGCCCTGTTGGAGCTGATGTCTTGACCGAGGATGAGAGCTGATCCCCGGGTGGGGGGAAAGAGGCCACTCAGGATGGAGCTAGGGGTACAAAGAGTCAGAGCTGAGGAAGACAGAGGCTGCAGAAGTGGGTGATCATGTGGGTGGGGCAGGGGCTTAGGGAGGGTTTCCAGAGCTGGGGAAGGGGAGAGGAAGGCATGGAAGAGTCTCTGCTCCCCCCTCCCATTGGAGCCAGCCTCCTAGAACAGTCTGGAAGGATCCCCCCACATCCTGCCCTGTCCCTCCAATCCTTCCCCCTCCCGCCAGATGACACTCACAGGGTCGTGGTCTTGCCAGCCCCGTTGTGGCCCAAGAAGGCAGTGATGTGGCCCTCATAGAAGTCCAGGCTGAGCCCCTGAAGGGCAGGGCGGGCACTGCCAGGGTAGTACTTCACCAGGCCCCGAAGTGATACACCCACATTGAGTCCGGGGGAGGGGTCTTCCACCAGCACTGAAGGAAACCAGGGACCAGGGCATGAGGTTCTCCCAGCCCCGGCCCAGGGAAGCCCCGAGCACAGGAAGCTTCCCCCCACTGCGTACTGCAAGGGAGATCCTTGTTACTCTGAAATCTGGGAAGGGGATGTAAACACCAGAGGGAAATCCTGGGGGTACTGGAAGATATATGGGGTTTATAGGGCAAGTGCTGGTGGATGGTCTGTAATTCAGTTCCATTCACCCAGGGTTACTAAGGCAGGGGATGTAGCAGAGAGAGCACCAGGGCCAGAGCGTGAGAGACACAGGTTCAAATCCAGCCTCAGAAACTTACTAGCTCTGTGACCCCTGGGCAAGTCACTTAACCTCTATCTCCCTCAGTTTCCTTTTCTGTAACAAGGGGACAATAACAGCACCCACCTCAAAGGGTCATTGTGAGGATCAGATAACATGTTGGTAAAGCACTTAGCCCAGTACATAGTAGGCACTTAATAAACCACTGTTTCTCTCCCCCTCCCTAAGGGCTCTGCTAGAGTAGAAGCTTTGTGCCCCACAGGGGAAGAAGGAAGCTACAAGGGTGGTGACAGGTCTACAAGGATGCCCTTTTTCTCTCTGGGGTTGCTAGGAGCCTTTAGGAGAAGTGAGATCTCCAGGGGCATGGGGGGCTTCTGTAGAGGGCAGAGGCTCTCGACCAAGATGGGGGATGGGGAATCTGGGGGGCTTCAGGAAGGACAATATGGAGGTGGGGGCTAGAGCAGGGCTCTCCCACTTTGGCAGTCAGGCTGGCGAAGCCTATGGACCCCTTCTCAAGAGAAGGTCTGAAATGTACAAAATAAAATACCCAGGAAATTGATTAAATTGAAATACTGTTATCAAAATACTTTTTTAAAAAACATAAATAAGTTCACAGAGCCCAGGTGAAGAGCCCCTGGTGTTTAGTGAGTGTGAGCTGTATGGAAGGGCATAAGGGATGTGGAGGGATACAGATGGAGCTGTGCTCTTTAAGGGTATCAGTCAGTCAGGGTAACAAGCATTTGTAAAGGGCTCGCCGTGCACCAGGCCCCATGTGCGCTGAGCGCGGGGTGGCTACTACTGGGAGGCTGAGTGGTATGAGGAATGTGAATGGTCTCTAGGGATGTGTGACAGGTCTGTAATGGGCTGGGGGAGATCCACAGGGGTGTGAAGGCCCTACAGTTGAGGGGGAGCATGAGACACGAAAGCTCTGTAGGACAGGCAAACAGGGTGTACACAGGGTGGCCTGGCCTCTGAAGGTATAAGGTCGATGGATGTGTGAGAAGTCTGTTGGGGTAGGGAATAAAGGATTTACCTTGGGGGTCATCCTTGGAGGGGGTCGGGTCCAGGCTGACAACTGCCAGCTCTCCACACCAGTAGCTTTTCCGGAAGGGGAAATTCCAGGGCTGAGGGATTCCATACTGACCTAAGGTGAGCAGGGAAGAGTGGACACCTCAGAACCCGAGTCCTGGCTCCCCACACCATCTCCCCACCCCAGGCCCCGTCTTTCTCCAGGCCTCACCAGGGCAGACGGCCTCAATATACCAGGTGGCCATAGCATAGAGTCCAGCGTCCAGGATCAGCAGAGCCTCGGACAGTGCCAGGTTGTAGCCATCACCAGCCACAGGGCTCTGGCCCAGGTTGTGCCACTGAATGCCCACGCCCTGCTCCTCATACAGGGAGAAGTACTCACAGCCAAAGCCGAAAGCCACTGGAGACAGCAGGCTCTATAGAGCCAGGGGCAAAAGGGAGGCAGGCATCACCGCTGGCACCCTCTCCCCCTGCCAGGGGTGCCGCTTCCTGGCCCTCGGCCGGCACAAGCCTACCCAGCTCTAAGGCCAGAGTCCCAGAACCCAATGAGAGCCACCCACTTCTGTCCCAAACTGCCAGGGCCTGGGGCTGGCACAACTTGGCCTCCCAGAGGGAGTCAGACTAAAGTCAAGGGTCTATAGATAAAAAGGAGTATTTATAAGGGACAGGATACCTGGGGATGGGGGAGGGGATTCTATGGTGCTTTGGAGCTTTAGGGAGCCTATAAAGAGCATGTGAGGGTCTAGAGAGAACATAAGGCACCCCCAGGAGAAGGAACACTTCGATTTTCTGCCTAAATTTCAAGCATCTATCACATGCCTTACTTTATAGCACTTATTCCATAATAGGCATAAATATTATACCTTAATAAACATACATTGAATTGAATTTACAAGAAAAGATGTGGCATCTAGAAGGGGCCTGTGATGCTCTATGGTCATATGGAGTCTCTAGCAGGGTTATGAGGGAGAGCATGAGGGTACAGGCTTGTGGGGGGGTCTCCAGGGAGCAGGCTGGCTTCTTGGGTAACGTCAGAGTGCTGGAGTCTTTAGCAGGTGTGAACGCCATAAGGGAAATCTCTCTTGGGGCACAGGAGGGCTAAAGTGAAGGTGTGGACTCTTGAATGGCAGGTCTATGGAACAATGTGGGCCTGAGAAGCTTCAGGGTGAGGTATGCTCTATAGACAGCACTGGAGGGAGAGGATTCTGGGAAGATGGTGGAGTAGGCCAGAAAACTTTTGGCTTTCTGAATTTCCTCCATAAAAAAAGGACAGAACATCACCTCGGAGCAGCAGAAATAAACTCGGGGTAAAGCAGTTGTCCTCCTAAGACAATCTGAGAAGACCCCAGGAAAGACCCGACCTCCAGGCGCCAGAGGTTTGGCCTGAATGAACTGCAAACCTCTCCAGGCCAACCGGAGAACCAACAAAGTCCTAGAGGAATCTGGGGTTGGGAGGTGGTCTCGACCTTAGAAACTTTCATCTCCCAGACAGTGCTGAGGAGGAGAAGATTAAAGGCCCTCCACTGCCTAGGGGCGCCGAGCACAGCCGCACTGACCAGACGCGTCCTGGACTGCAGCCGCAGAGAGCAGGCATTAGCACACACCTGGTGAGTGCAGCAGCCACGGGCAGGGACCCTGCTCGCTGTGGCAGAGAAGACAGCTGTAGTTAGGAGCCACCAGAAGGACCACAGGGAACAAGATCATTTGTGGGGCAGTGTGGCTGGGGGCCCTATCCGTGGCTTAGGAATAGAGAGGAGAGCCCAAGGTTGGGCCCAAGATAGACCTCAGAAAATAACAGTCAGAAGGACCTGAGGTTCGGGGCATCATTCCCCATACCTTGGGACTAAAACTTGATTATGCTAATAGCTGCTAAAAACAAAATAAAACCAAAAAAAAAATACATAAAAAATAAAAATGAGTAAGCAAAGCAGAAGGAACCCAACCATAGATCGTTACTATGGGGATGGAGATCTGGGTTCATATTCAGAGGAAGATAAGGGAGCTAACAAAGCCACTCCTTTTTCAATGAGAACCGTCAAATGGTCCCAAGCACAAAGAGAGTTCTTGGAAGACCTCAAAAAGGACTCCAAAAATCAAATAAGAGAGATCAAAGGAAAAAACAGAAAAAAAAAGAAGAGCAATCCAAGAAAACCAAGAAAATTATGAAAAGAAAGTCAACCAACTGGAAATTGAGAATCAAAAACTTAAGGAGGAAAATAATTCCTTGAAAACTACAACTGGGCAAGGGGAAGCTTGCACTGGGGGATCCAGAGGACATAGAGTCTATAGGGGCATGGGGTCCATGAGGGACATCTGGAAGAGGCCTATGGGGGAAGAAGTCTATATGGAGTATTTAGGCCCGTAAAGACATTGAATCTGGAGGGGGGAGGGTCCTCTATTCTGCCCTGCACCCTGGCAGAGTGGGTATAGGTCTCTCCCCTGCTGCCCACAGGATGGGTACTGCCAGAGTCCCTGCAAACAGGCCCAGGGCATCCTCTGCCCCCCCCCCTCCCCACAGTCCAAGGCTCAGGACTTCTTGGGCAGGCACACTGCAAGCCTCACCGCAGCCAGGCGCAGGGCTGGGGGTAGATGGTCCCTCCAGGCCACGCAGAGCACATAAGGCAGGTAGAGGGTGAAATAAAGGAGGCCTCCGCAGGCAGCCGCCACATTAGCGTGGGAGAAGGCAGCACTGAACAGGAAGCTCTGGCAGACAGTGGCAACAGCAAAGGCAGCCAGGAACAGGAAGACGAGGAAGGGGTCACTATAGGGGAGAATGTCCCCCTGCTGCAGAAAGAAAGGGAAGGCGGTGACCCAGTGACACCCCTGCCTACACCACCATTTTGGAGGTCAAATGCCCTCTCTCCCCACCCTTAGGCCGAGCCTAGGGGAGGATGCAGACCCCAAAACTCAGGGTAATGGGGGATGGTCAGGGCAGTAACAAATCTGGGGCCTGGGAAATAGGGCCAACAGAGCAAGGATTGAAGAGAAGGCTTGGGAGGGGCCACAGATACAGGGGTTATAGGATCATTGATCTAAAGTAGGCTTCAGAGGAAGAAAATGAGGCCCATGTAGATTAATTCACTTGCCTGAGATAGCATAAGCAGTAAATATTAGAGATGAGTTGTTTACTGCCTGGGTAAACTTTTGTTAGTCACTTAGGCCTCTGTTTCCCCACTTGGAAAATGTGGGAGCTGGTCTAGATGGCCTCGGGTTTGAAAGGGTGGAGGGCGGCTACCCAGAGTATGGCACCCTTGGGTTAAGGGATGAAGAAGGGAGAGCCCTTGGTTTTAGGGACAAATAGGGGTATGGTCATGGAGGAAGGGGGCCCTAGAATTGAGGGGGATGGTGGTAGGGTTCCCTAGGCATGGGAGATGTCCTGGGGGGATGGAGTAAGAAGGACCCTGGGCTTAAGAAATAGAATGGGGTGGGGAGGTCTTAGGTATAGGTGATTAAGTTGGGGGGGGGCTCAGCATGGGAGAGGGACTCTGGGGTCCCTGGGTCTGAGGGATGGGGGGAACTCTGGATATGTATGGGTGACAGAGTGTGAGGGAGGGAGCTCTATGCTTAAGGAATGAAATGTGGAAGGTCTTGGATATGGGAGGAGGACTCTGGGATCCTTGTGTGTGAAGGATGAGGGGGACTCAGTGAGTGGGGTTTCCCTGGGGATGGTGAATGGAGTTGGGTGTTCTGGGTGGGAGTGACTGAGTGGAGCAGCCCTGAGCTTGGGGGATGGAGCAGGGAGGAGGTTCCTAGGTTTGAGGGGGGTCCTGGATCTAAGGTGGGGGCCCCCTGAGTGGGTAGAGGCCCGTCTCACCTTGAGGATAAGAACAAGAAGGCTGCTGCTGACCAAGAATGGCACAAGGCTGCTGATAAACCAGCTGCCCCAGAGGACGCTGCGGTCCAGGCCCATTGCCAGCATGGTGTCCCGCAGACGAGCTTCCTTCTCCTGAACAACGCCCTTCACGGTCAGGGCCACCGAGTAGATCCAGGCGAGGGTCAGGAATAGCGGCAGTGTCCGGTTCAGCACTCGCAGGAATCTGAAGGACAGGAGGAGGAAGAGCCCAGGCCATCACTCTGACCTTCCTCTTAACACAGAGCCCTCAGTCTGAGAGCTCCTTCTCTCAGGTCTGGCTGGAGAGAAGCCCAGGGTGGGAATGCCCAAAGGGGCACAGGCTACCCAGTGTGCCCAGGTGGGCCTAGGTATGAATGTTGGGGCTTTGACAAGGCTCTGAGATGCCCAGGGTGGGGATGCCCAAAGCGGGCACAGGCTACCCAGGGTGCCCAGGCGGGCCTAGGTATGGATGGTTGGGGCTTTGATGAGGCCCCCTGAGATGCCCAGGGTGGGGTCACTCACACATCATCCACATAGCAGGGGTAGGGCATCTGTTGCAAGTAGATGCTGGCAGGGCGGGCAGAGCTGTTCAGCACCCGGACGACTGCCCCCTCCAGAAGGTCCTGAAGGTAGACAAAGCCACCCCACACATAGCGCATGTCCAATACAGGATCCGCTGCCGGGCCGGGGTCCCAGAACCTGTACGGAACAGGCAGGGATAATGGCAAACACAATGCCCCTGGTGGCAGGATGCCAGGCTCAGGCTCCGTCCTTCTCCGGAAAGAGCTTACAAAGCAAGGATTTCCATCCCCCTGGTACCACGCCCACCTCCCTCCAGATGAAGAGCCAGCCCGCGGCCTCCTCTAATACCATGGCAGTGCTGGAAGGGACCTGGGAACATGGAATGTCAGAGCAGGGAGGGCCCTCGGGACAGAGAACAGCAGTGAGATGAGCCTGGGACCACAGCAGCCTTGGCAAGGTCAGGTCCAGGCTGCCGCACTGCTCCTGCGCGTCCAGGGAGCCACGTCAGCCCCCCGGCCCCGCCTCCAACCTGTCTTTGATCTTATTAGTCCTGGCGACATCGTCGATATCCATCCGGATCTTGAGGCGGACGTGGCCCGGAGCTCGCCCGTCCTGGAGCCCCAGGAAGACGACGCCAGCCCAGAAGCGCCGCCGCCCCAGCAGCTCCACGGCCCGCTCCATCAGACTGTCCTCTGTCACCACCGGCTCCAACTTGTCCAGAGAAACACACTGCGGGGGAGAGGAGAAGGAGGGCAGCCGCTGGGGGGATTCCAGACCCCAACCCAGGGGGAGCAAAGAGTAGCTTGCCAGGAACCCGGGAAAAAGCCCTAGAGTCCAACACGCATGTGTGCGTGTACACGCTCGCCTGCGTTCATGCATGTACGGTATGTGAGCATGTACTGAGTATCTGTGTGCACACATGTGTATCACATCTGTATGTGCTGTGCATGTTTGCATACATGGCTATGTGTGTGTTGTGTAAGCACATATGCAAGGGCACACACATACATTCAAGCATTGTGCCATATACATGCATATTGTATGTGCATGCATGTATGTGTACATGTGTTTTGCTCACGTATATATGCATTACACACATATGTATGAATGCACATGTATTTGTGTGTTATATAAGTATGTGTATATGTTTGTGGGGTGGGGTGGGGGTAGAAGGGCAGAAGGTACATGCATTTGTTCCCATCTTATTCTTTATCTTTGAATCCCAGCTCAAAACTCGCCTCCTCCTGGGAGCCTTCCCCGCTTTGCCCCGACCCCAGCACGTATTTCTTTTGCACAGATCTTGCAGTTGCTTCTCTGTGTACCTGCTGCCTCCCCCCACAGTAGACAAGATCCTTGAGGGCAGGGGCTGTTTCATCTTTGTCTTCACATCTCCAGCACTGAGTTCAGTGCTTGGCACACAGTAGGCACCTAATAAATGCTTGCTTGCTTGATTCAAATGCCACCTCTTCCAAGAAGTCTTCCCTTACCCTCTAGTCCACAGCCCCCTTTGGACACCCTGCCCCTGTCTGCTGTATGAATCGTCAATCAATCACTACACGTTTATCGAGCAGGATCATGGATATGGGCGTCAGCGTTTCACCCTCACACTGGGTTGGGGATTTTAACTCTGGTCTCCCCCAGTGCTGAGCATGGGGGCGCTTCTACGCAGAGCTGGCACTTCATAAGTATCTGCCGTGCAGAGTGACTCTGCACAGCGCTGGAGGGAGAGTTAGGAAGGCCTGTGTTCCACGCTCCAGGCCAGTCCCCAATCCGGATCCAGGTGAGCATTTCTACACTGGGAGTCTCTGACAGGATGAACTTGAAGATTCGGACCATATGAAAACGCTCATGCTTGTACTGCTATCAGGCACCCATCTGTTCTGGTGGCCTTCTGGCACAGAGCCTCTGGCCTGTTGGTGACCTTAGAGGGCTCTGTCCCCAAGACCCCCCCCGGACAGGACCGTGTTTCCCCCACGGGACCAGGGCCCAGACCCGGCCCCCAGAGGTGACTCCGACGGTGAAGGGTGTGAGCCAGGGCACAGACCTGCTATGCACCAGGCACTGGGCCAAGCACTGAAGGTACAGACAGAAGCAAACAAGGCCCAACAGAAGCCCTCAGGGGGCTGATGTTCTGACGAGGGAAGACCAAATACCATCACCATCATCATCACCATCACCACCACCACTGGCACTTAGGTACCCAGGCAGCAAGGTGGAGCAGTGGTCAGAATGCTGGGGTCCGGAGTGAGGAAGACCTGAGTTCAAATCTGGCCTCAGAGACTTCCCAGATGTGTGACCCTAGGTAAATCACTGCACCTCTGTTTGCCTCAGTTTCTTCATCTATAAAATGGGGATGGTGACAGCATTCACTCCCCAGAATTGTAAAAATCGAATGAAATATTTGTAAAGCACTTAGAATAGTGCCTGGCCCACAGCAGACACTATTTAAGCGTCAGCCATCATCATCATTGTTATTATTATGTTTTAAGATTTGCAAAGCACTTTATAACTACTATCTCATTTGATGCTTATGATAACCCTGTGAGACAGGTGCTATCATTGCCATCCTTATTTTACAGTTGGTGAAACTGAGGCAGACGGCAGTGACTTGCCCCAGGTCATACACCTAGCATGACCACCACCACTCTATTTACTGGCCCACTTACCACCTCTGTGCATGTGGGGGAGCTGGAAAGAGGGGAAGATGGGGGCGGGGAGCTTAAGAGCATTGGCCCGGGACAAGGCCGCCATCTCACCTCCAGGACTTTCCCCACTTTATCCACTATCAGAGTTATGTCTTCGTAGGCCTCTTTCCAAGTGTAGCCACTGCTGTCCAAGCCCAGGAAGGTGCGGATGGCCGACGTCCCGTTCCTGGGGCGCCTCAGCCTCTCTTCCCAGGAGGGCATCTGGAACAGCCTCTGGAGGACCGGGGGAAGGGGGAAGCCCCTTAGCTGGGTCCCTGGCCTGAGCCCATTTTCACCCTTATGTCCAACCAAGCTCTTCCCGTGCCCCTGTAATGCCCCTCCCTCTTCTCGTCCTCTCCAAAACCAGTCCCAGCTTAACTTCATCTTTTCCCATGAAGCCTTCCTCGACCAATCCAGGCCCCAGAGACACCTGCCTCCTCTGAGCTCCCAAAGAATTTGGTGTTTGGATAACTGATTAGGCACTCAGGAGACAGAATGTAGGACCACAGAGCGGGAGGGGAAAGGCATCTCAGAGGCCATCTAACTGAACCCCCTTCATTCTACAGAACAGGAAACTGAGGCCCAGCGAGTGACTTGTCACACAAGCAGTGAGCATAAGAAGTGGGGTCTGAACCTGGGTCCTCTGACTCCAGAGCCACTGCTCTTTCTACCATATGACAGGAACCTAGGAAGGACCTTAGAACAGAGACTGTCAAAGCTGGGAGGGCCCTTAGAACACAGGATGTCAGAGTGGGGGAGGGGCCTTAGAACAGAGACTGTCAGGGCTGGGAGGGCCCTTAGAATACAGGATGTCAGAGCGGGGGAGGGGCCTTAGAACAGAGACTGTCAGGGCTGGGAGGGCCCTTAGAACACAGGATGTCAGAGCAGGGGAGGGGCCTTAGAACAGAGACTGTCAGAGCTGGGAGGGCCATTAGAACATGGAATGTCAGAGCTGGGAGGACCTTAGAACACAGGATGTCAGGGCTGGGGAGGGCCCTTAGAAGAGAGACTGTCAGAGCTGGGAGGGCCCTTAGAACATGGAATGTCAGAGCTGGACCTTAGAACGCAGGATGTCAGGGCTGGGGAGGGGCTTTAGAACACAGGATGTCAGACCTGGGGAGGACCCTTAGAACACAGGATGGCAGAGCTGGGGAGGACCCTTAGAACACAGGATGGCAGGGCTGGGGAGAGGCTTTAGAACAGAGGCTGTCAGACCTTAGAACATGGAATGTTAGAACGGGAGGGCCCTTAGAACATGGAATGTTAGAGTTGGGAGGACCTTAGAACACAGGATGTCAGAGCTGGGAGGACCTTAGAACACAGATCATTCTATGTAAGAGGAAACTTGAAACTCAGGGTGGGAAGGTGACTTGCCCCAGATCATTCCGGGTAAGTCACAGACCCAGGACTTAAGCGCAGGCATTTTGACTTGAAATCCTACACTCTTTTAGAAGAAAGCCAGAGAGGGGAAGGAACTTGCCTAAGGTTAAAAACAACATGGTATTAGACCCCAGGTCCCCTGCCTCCCAGCCCAGTATTTTTCCCACTCTGGATGGGGTGCCCAGGGCTAAGTATACAGTAGGTACTTAATGAATGCCTGTTCATGGAATCAAAACTCTGGAGCTAGAGCTGGAAGTGACCGAGGCCAGCTAGAGTGAGATCAAAGAGATGTGGTGACTTGCCCACAGTCACTCAGGTGGTAAGTGGCAGAGTGTGTATCCCCCCAATACTCCAACTGCAAATCCAGCCCCCTCCCCATTGCTCCAGGCTGCCTCCTGGCCCTTGATGATCTTGGCCCCCCCAAAACCTCCCTGGGGCTGCCAGCCCATCACTACCTTCAGGAGCACCGCTTGGGCACTGTTGTTCATGAAGCTGGAGATCTGGGGTGCGAGCTCCATCCAGAGGCCATGAAGCTCCCGCAGCAGGGCCAGCTGATGGAATGTCTGGTTCACCTGGACAGAGACCCAGGCACAAAGCAGCTTGGTCAGGGCCCCTTCCCATCTGCCCCCTCCCTCCTCAACCAGGGATGGGGGCTTTGTTCGAGTGTCCCAAAGTAGAGGTAAGGTGAGAGGGGGAGAGAAAGAGGAGGGAGGGAAAAGGAGAGAGAAAGAAAGAGAGAGGGGTGGGAACGAGAAAGGAGAGAAAGAAGAAAGGGAAAGAGGGTAGAGAGAGAAGAGGGGGAGGAAGGGAAGGGAAAGGAGAGAGAGGAAGGAAAGGAGGATAGAGGAGAAAGAGAAAGAAAGGGAGAGGAGAGAGAAAGACAGAAAGGAAGGTAAGAAGGGAAGGGGGGGGAGAGTGTAAAGGGAGAGAAACCACAAAGGACGAAGGGAAAGGATGACCCAGGTTTTCATGGTTCCATAATTTCTTCAAGAAAATGACCCTTCATTCCCATCTGTTCTCTTATCTGACCCTCCCCAGAGGCTGATGGGAAATGAAGGATCAACCTTAAATTACAGAACAAATTGGCACAAAGACAGGAAAAGCCAGTGGGTAGCAGAATCAGGACAAAGATTCATAGTGTCAAAAATGGGAGGGCCCTTAGAACCCAAAATATCAGAGGAGGGAAGGGCAGTAGAACACAGAATGTTAAAG